GCCTAGAGGCCGCCACGCCGTCAGTTGGGGAGAGGTGAAGCTGTCTCCGCCCTGAGCCCTCTCGATGCCGGCCAGGCTCGCCCAGATGCCGCGACCCACCCTCCGCTCGCCGCCCTCCGCTCTGACTAGGGGCCGCCGCCGGATATCCACCACCGTCGCCTGCTTCAGTCCAGGTCGGGGAGACGGGAGAGGGGACGACTGAAACTAGTCAACACAAAAATGGGTAGGGTCCACCTGCAGGGGTATATTGCTGTTGGAGCGCATCTTTTATTTGGGAAAAAAAAGGTGACGCCAGAAAACCGTCACATAAAGATAGGTACTAGCGTCACAAAAAGAAACCGTCAACCGGCAGCTGGTGAATGACAATTTGTGATGAAAATTTATACCTTTCTGTGACACAAAGTTCAGTGTCATCATAAATAGTTCTGAACCTCATGAGTTTGTGACGACAGGAAAAATTTCGTCACAAAATGTAACATTATATGACGAAATCAGTCCTCATCATGAGGAGTTTGTCATAAAAAGAAGGATTTCTTGTAGTGACTCTCTCATCTTTATTATCATCTTGTGGCACATTTGATGAAGAGGGTGGATCAATCACTTATACATCATCTTTGGATTTGATGTCTCCAACCAGAATGTTTTTCATGGCCTCCCTCAATGGTTCATCACCTACATCATCAAGATTCTCATGTGCTCCTTAGGAGCTGTTAGATTCATCAAATTCCACATCATATGTTTCTTCAAACAAACCGGTGGCATGATTAAATACTTGATATGCTTTGGACTTTGATGAGTAATCAACAAGAAAACCAATATCATAACGTCTTTGGAACTTCCCTATGTGTTGTCGCTTCTTGTAGATGTAGCAATTGCAATCAAACACCCGGAAGAATGAGACGTTTGACTTCTTCCCATTGAGCAACTCATAAGGGGTCTTGCCAAGAAACTTTTGGAGAAATAGGTGGTTGGATGCATAGCATGCAAAGTTGATAGCTTCCACCCATAGATCTTGAGGTGTATTGTACTCATCAAGCATTGTTTTTGCAAGGGTGATTAGTGTCTGGTTCTTTCTCTCCACTACACCATTTTGTTGAGGAGTGTGGGTTGCGGAGACCTCATGATTAATCCTAACTTCATCATAATATGCTTCAATGTTTGTGTTGTCAAATTCTTTCCTGTTGGCACTTCTTATCTTCTTGAGCTTCACTTCAAATTCATTTTATGCTCTCTTGGCAAACTTATTGAAACATGTGGCCACTTCGGTCTTGTCATGAAGGAAGAACACCCAAGTGTATCTAGAGTAGTCATCAACTATCACAAGACAATAGAGGTTGCCTCCCAAACTCTTGTAAGTTGTTGGTCCAAATAGATCCATGTGGAGAAGCTCCAGTACTCTCGTTGTTGACATGTAAGCTTTGGTTGGATGAGTGTTTGCAACTTGCTTGCTGGCTTGATATGCACTACAAAGCTTGTCCTTCTCAAATTTCACATCCTTCAAACCTCTCACCAATTCATTCTTCATTATCTTCTTGAGTGAGCTCATCCCAACATGTGCAAGTCTTCTATGCCAAAGCCACCCAAGTGATGTTTTAGTGAATAAGCATGTCTTCAAGTTTGTATCTTCAGAGGTGAAATCTACTAGATATAGGTTATTGTATCTAAAACCCTTGAATATAACTTGATCATCATCTCTCTTTGACACAACCACTTCCTTCACGGTGAACAAACATTGAAAGTCAAGATCACACAATTGACCTACGGATAACAAGTTGAAGCTCAATGAAGCAACATATAGCACATTTGATATTGAGTGATCATTTGATATTGCAACTTTCAATCCTTGTACTTAGCCCTTTGAATTATCAACAAATGTAATACTTTCTTGACCATCTACTTCTCCATCTAGTGAGGTGAACATATGAGGATCACCAGTCATATGTTGAGTGCAACCACTATCAATAATCCAATGACTTCCATCAGTCTTGTAGTTCACCTACACACACAAGAGATCAAACTTATTGTTTAGGGACTCAAACTTGATGACTTTCTCAACTAGTGACTTAGCAACCCAAATTTGATTAGGCCTATTCTTGTTGGGTGGACCTAAGAACATGACTTTTATATTTCCACTAAAATCTTTTCTAAGCATGTAGTGAGCATTGAAGGCAAAGGGTCTAGCATGTTTGGGCAAGGGTTGTGGTGGTGGAGTTTCATACTCATGAGCAAAGTGATCTTCTTGTCCACACCCAAAGCATCTCTTTGGCTTAGTCTTTGACTTGTATTATTGTTGATGTTGAGCTTGAGCTTTCTTCTCTTGATTTGCTAACAACCTAATACCACTTCTATCCATCTTCATCACGGTGTTCATTAGTAGCTCACTTTGGAGATATTGGCCTCTTGTGAACTTGCTCAAACCGGTCTTAAGATATTCTTTCTCCAACTTGAGTTTCTTGTTTTCTTCTCTAAGTTCATCATGATTCCTCTCCATCTTGAGTCTCTTGTTCTCTTCTCTAAGCATCTCATTCTCAAGAGCCATATCATGATCATTGTCAATATTCTCTATCACAATTGTGTTTGTGGTCGATAGTTTTTCAAGATCCTTCTTGAGCTTTTCATTTTCATTCTTGAGCTCGACATAATCATCATAGTTGTCAGACTCAACCACCTTCTTGCCTTTGCTACTAGAACATTGCTCAATGCTCTCAACAATCAAGTCATCACATGATGTAGCTATATCAATCTTAACAATATTGTTAGTAGCATCATGTGGCTCATTTGACAATAACTCATGAGAAACAACAAGATTGTCATGGTTAATCTTAAGATTGGTGTACTATTCTTTTAGCAAGTTGTAACTAGTGGTGAGCTCATTGTGTATCTCAAGTTTATCATGTTTTTCTCTAAGCTCCCTTTTAGAGGTTTTGAGCTCCTTGAGTTTGGATGACACAATTTTATTTTCTTCTCTAAGCTCATCACTAGCTTTTTCGGCTATGTCATACTTTGCTAAGAGTGAGTCATTTTTAAGTTCTAGCTTCTCATTTTTTGCTCTTGTCTGTCTAATGATTTTAGTGTATTGGTTTAACAATTTGACAAGATCATCATAAGAAGGTGATTCAAATTCTTCATCACTATCACTACCATTTTTATCATCACTGGCATTGTCATCACCATTACTATCATCATCATTTTGTATCTTCCGTTCACCCTTGGCCATGAGGTATAGATGTGTAGAGGATGATGACGGCGGTGTCGATGAAGATAGTGAAGAGCCAATCACAAGAGCGACCACCTTCTCCTTCTCATTATCACTTTCATCATCAGATGAGTCACTTGATGATTCAATGTCCATGAGCCAATCACCAACAATATAGGCCTTGCCATTCTTCTTCTTATGAAATTCCTTCTTCTTGCCATCTTTCTTCTTCTCATCATCATCATCACTTGAATCATCTTTCTTGCCCTTGTACTTTTTCTTATACTTGTCTTTCTTGGGTTTGGGGCATTGATGAGCTAGATGACCAAGATCTCCACAATTCTAGCAATCCATTTCGTAAATGGACTTCCTTCTACTACTAGTGAAGAATTTCTTCTTCTTGCCATCAAACTTGACACCATTCTTGTTTAGCTTCTTGAGCATCTTGGCAGTTCTTCTCACCATGAGAGCAAGGCTTGCATCATCAATCTCATCATCACTTGAGCTATCATGATCAACTTTTGCTTTGCCCCTCTTCTCTTGGCTAGCCTTGAATGTCAAAACTTTCTTCTTGGTGGAAGAAGAGACATCTTGTGGAGTGATGTGCATGTACATCTCATGTTCATTGATCTTCCACAATATTTGAGTTGGTGTAGTGGTGCAAAGATCACCTTGATGAAGCACCGTCACAATATTCCCATACTTGTCAATGGGGAGGACACTCAAGA